TTAGTGAGATAGTTCTGATGAATAGCAATAAGGCCAGAGAAAGAATAATGCATAACACGAATTCCTCAGGAAATCAATTAGTATTTTTATGAGCAGCAGTAAAAATATGACCAAGGGTTAGCAGAGAGTAAGGTCAGGCTATTTGATCCCAAAACATATTCTTTGCTGAGTTCTGTTTATCCATGTAAAAATATTCTGTGCTGTGTCAAAACGAAAATCTCAGTGCTCCCAAGACTAAGATATTTTATATATCAGATGTACTGAATTCTTCATTTGGCTGTGTGGCCTTCGATAGGGCATATAAACTCGGTAATTTTTGCAGGATTTTCAGGTTCCTAACTGACTTTCCGTGGCTCTCTGAACTTAGTATATTTTGGTGTTCTGAATTATGTACTATGTGTACAAGTAAAACACTGCGTATTTTATATTTTTTGAAGAGGTTCTTGTTGGGGTAACGTAAGTAATTCTAATATTGGGGTAAATGATGATTAGCATTTGAAAATAAAAGTGACAGTGTATTCATATTACTTCTACATTGTTAAGATTCATTCATTCATTCACTCAGTCATTCAATGAATGCTGAACTCCATATACATGAATTTACTGAGGACAAGACTATGGAGGCATGAAACAAGTGTCACACTTCAACTTGAACCCTCGGAGGTGGCACTTAAGCTCGGATAATTCTTTATAATGGTAAAAATTTTGCTGCAACCATCACACATCTATCAGGCCTTTCCTAGCTGGACTGATATTATCATTTAAATGGAAATCCTTACCCGCCTTTATTAGCTAATGTACACTGTTCTCTGGGTAACAGTTAAGCCTAGTGATATAGGGGAGCAAAGGATCAGCTAATCTGATTTTCCAGGGAATAACACTATATGTTTGAATAAGAGAGTCATAAATACTAACCTTAGCACCTATTTTAAAGGAGCCAAAGACAATGAAAATGCTGAAGTTTGTGTCTTCAGACGGAAACTATATACAACAGCAATCATGGACGTATGGGGGACCATCCAGGCATGTAGTGGTGGGCTGACTGATGAGATTAGAACTCTACAGTTTGGAGCTCAGTACACAGGTGTTTCTCAGCTCTAAAACTGTGTGTCCATGGGCACCTCACAATGTACCTGTAAGCTGAATTTTTAAATTCTGTGAGTGACAGGGAATTTGGTTCTCAACCATTTTTATGCATGAGATCCTTTTTGTAACATCAAGCATTTCTTGGATACCCACATAATAAGAGTTGCCAGTTGAGGAAAAATTAAGCACAGGTGGATTCGCAGATACCTTACAATAAACCTGTAAATTACAGCCTGAGAAGCACGTCCAAGACTCTGATTCTTCCATAGCTTTGCTGTCAGTTACTTTCCTTGAGAACTGTCTAGGGTGAGGGGTTCACTGCTCCCATGGCAGCCTGTTTTGTGGCTGCTGTCCATGGTGCTAGAGCAAACCCTGAGCGGAGATTCATCTTCCTCTAACTTCTACCTATTGGGCGCTGTTCTGCCTCTGAAACGACATAAACTAACCACGATTTCTTCCACACAACAGCTTTCCATTACCACCCATAAATCCAGAAAAGACCACCAGCTTACAAGGGTGTACAAATCACAGCAAAACAGCATGTACCAGGAAAAGGGAAGAGAAAGAAGTAAAAAAGTGAAGCCAGGAAATAAGCTTCCAAATCCATTCTATTAGTGGCCCATTTCTGCACTGTAGCTGGCCCACAAATGCGGCTCTAGGCTTTCCAGCAGTCAGCTTTCAGGGGGAACCCTTAGTAGTTGCATAATTTGCAATGTCCTCCAGAACAACCTTCCTCAGGACAAGCATAATGAACTTGGAATAGGCACCATGGTTCCTCACAGAAAAGCCCACTGGGATGTCCTGAACCACACACATCAAGTTCCCTGTACAGTGACCACAATATAAACAAATGGCACCAAATTACTATGTAGGGAAAGCAATTCTTTGAAGGGCTAAAATAGTGAGGCCCAGGTACCTAATTCCCTGCTGTAGATCTGGCTTGATTCAGGGATATATTTTAGAATATTTGGAAGGGAGGATCAAACAAGTGTCCTGTAGTTGATTTTCCATGAATATTAGGTCTTTCAGGTGAACTTTTGATAAATACTGATTAAGCTTTTGATTAACTATTAAATAAATATATACATAAAGCCAGGCACTGCTCTAAGCATTTTCTATCCATTAGCTCATTTAATATTCATAATGGTCTCATACAGCGTCATTACAAGACATCGTATTTTGGAGGTGAGGAGACTGAGGCACAGAAAGATTAAGACCCTTGGTAGCAGATACAGCCAGCATTTGGATCTAAGTCATACAACCCAATCTCCTTTTTTTTTTTTTTTTTTGCGGTACACGGGCCTCTCACTGCCGTGGCCTCTCCCGTTGCGGAGCACAGGCTCCGGACACGCAGGCTCAGCGGCCATGGCTCACGGGCCCAGCCGCTCCGCGGCATGTGGGATCTTCCTGGACCAGGGCACGAACCCGTGTCCCCTGCATCGGCAGGCGGACTCTCAACCACTGCACCACCAGGGAAGCCCCCAATCTCCTTTTTCACCACTACAAGAATCCCAAAGGCATGTAAGTCGGGTTAACATCCTTTTGTGAAAGTTGAGGATTTGAAGAAAAAGAGCAATGCGAGGTCAACTTATGTCTTTTGAGAAGGCAAAGCAATGGGAATTTGTATCAGTCTGAAAAAGCTTACGGGGATTGAGGCATAAAAGGCAGGGAGGGAAAAGAAAGCATCAAGTCAGTGCATAGTTTAGAAAATCATTTCTCTTTGTTATTTTTGCAACTTCTTCAAATTACAATCAGTGGTGGATCAAAATATGTCCATGTATTCCTTGACAACCTTTCCTTTAAGATGGAGCCTAATTTCCTTCCCTTTGAGGGGCGTGCTGGATCTAGTACTCAGTGCTGACCAATGGAATAAATCAGAAGTGATGGTGTACAGACTTGGAGAGCAGGTCACTGTGGCTTTATCTTTGCTCTGTCTGTTGGATCAGTTGCTCCAGGTAAGTTAACTACCATTCTGAGGACAAGTAGCCTAAGAAGAGAGCCATGTGGTGAGGGCCACTAGACAGTGAGGAACTGAGGTATTTCTGGCCAAGAGTCATGTGGTCGAGGCATCTTGGAAGTGGATCTTCCAGCCCCAGTCAAGCCTTGGGTTAACTACAGCCGAGCTTGACTCCAACCTCATGGGACTCTCAGCCAGAACCACCCAGCTAAGCTACTCAGGGATTCCTGACCCTCAGAATCTGTGAGATAAAAATGTTTATTAATTAAAAGGTTCAAATTTGGGCTTATTTGTTATGCAGCAATAGATAAGTAATATATGAAACAACAAGCATCCCCTACCACCCTTGCAGTAACAAAACAGAATAAATAAAAATAAAACACATTGACTAGAGCTTCCAAAGAAGCATCCTGAAGATAACCATTCTCCTTTAGGTAAGGATTTGCCCCCAAACTCTCTTAACCCAAAGATCTTAAAGCAATTCAATTTACTTCCAAGGTAATTTTCCATGATCTGGGGTTCAAATATGTGTGTTACTTATAATGTCACATTGTGTAAAAAAGGGAAGCAAAAGATGTTCAAATCTTAAATTACATAAACCTTCCAAATTCTTAGAGCAGGATGAAGAACTGAATGCAGAAGATGGGCCAAAGGAACCCCCAGCTTTAGAGAATGGAAGAACAGGAGCTGTTAGCAGGTGGAAGCATATAATTGAGCCATTAGTTAAAAGCTACTGTAACTCATTTTAAAAGAAAACATTTGCTAGAAATTCTGATCCCAGAATTTGGCAGCTTGCTGAGGCCACGTGCAATCGGTGCAGATTATACAGTAAATGACGATGACTAAAGCTGGGAAGTGGAGTTTGATTTCCATAATTTCTAAGGCTAGCAGACATGACTTGAGTTTTTATCCTAATGCAATCACCATTATTAATCCAGAGGTATTTCCTTCTGCTTAGGCATCGCGGTGTCTCTCTATTTCTCACCTTCCACTTACCCTGCTTTATCACTCAGCCCAGGGCTCGTTAAGCTGCACTCCATGACCGATACGGAGCTTTACGGAGGGCGACAGATGCCAGTTTATGCACAGGTAAATCACAATGCTCAGCCCAAAATCAGGCTTGGGTAATACCCCTCTGCCGTCCATACCCCTCCGTCCACAAAACTCGTCATGAAGTTGCAATTTTAAAAGAAATGCTTTCCCATCACAATTCAATAACCTTTTTATAAGCACATACACTTCTTTTTCTGGCCTGCATGAAATTTAATATCAGGATTATTATCCATTTCTCATTTCAACCTATAATTTAGTCAGCCTACTTGCATTTGATTTATGCTTCCCTCACCCCTTCGCCGTCAGCTCGCAGCCATAGATCCATTCAAGAAGCTGTCTAGGTCATATTGGTTTGACCTCTTAGAACAAACACTTTCCATGTTTCTTATTCTGCTTCCCTAAGAGGCACCATTAAGTTTTGCTCATCTCGATTTAAAATGATTTTTACTACACAATAACATTTCAAGTTTTCCGTATTAATCTTCATTTTATTTCGTGAAATACTTAGGCAAACAATGTTACTAAGACATCACGCTAAGATGAGGAATTCTCTTTCTCCTCCACTCCTGTCTACTTAATGCCTGAATTAAGAAATCACACATTTTTGCTCTGAATTAGCTGAGCACTGGAAGAAAAGTTTAAAAGGCTGACCAAGTAATTCACGTCTTAAACACTTGGATAGCAATTAAAGCAGAAAATCTTACCTCCCCTTCTATATATATATATATATATATATATATATGTATATATATATATATATAGTATCCTGTTAAGAATTTAAAAATCTATTTTATATATCAAAGATGTCTGAGTCTAAATGGAAAATGAAAATAAAGCAATCCTAGCCAATTTGCCAAAGCAAACAAATACACGGTCAAGAGCCAGGAGTGTGGCTGGTACTCACCCCGCAGCCCATGCCGCTGCCCCCTTCGCAGGTGACCTTCCTCTGGCTGGGCTCAGGAAGCAGCCCTGCTCCGCAGCCCGGGCTGGGGCACAGCACGCCCCCCATCTGTAGCACGCACTCTTCGGCACCATATTGCTGGTACCGGTTGTACTGCAAAGAGAAAATGAGTTTTTCAAAGTGATAATACAGACACCAAGATGTGCTGTTTTACCGAAATGTTAATAGTTGGTGGTTCGGGGGTTTTCTTGTTAGTCTGTTTCTGTAAAAACGGGGGTGGGGGGTAAGGTGTGGTACAACCTAGAGAAAGTCTCCCAGTTCCAGCTGACAAAACAGATAAGTGAGGCCTGTGTTCTTCGAATTTCTAGAAATTTACCCTCAAAAAATAGATTTTTCCAAGTTTGATCTTTTAAAATACTACTATCAATTGCATTTAGTAGACTTTTTCATACAAATTTTAGGGAACATATCTATATTTTAAGTTATGGACATTCAAAACGCATCACTATCAATCTCATCAAAGAGTATATTTTCATGCCTCTATTCAGGAGCCTATCTAATTTTTAAAACTGTTTTGAAAATAGGTCCCAATGTTCCACTCCTGGTAATTGTTAGCAGCCCACACGGTATCAATGAGCATATTCAGCTTGACGAAGAAAGACTACTGTTTTTCTGTTAAAGGATAAAATTTTCCTTTCATCACTATTCTTATTCTTAAAGCATGATTTCTTTTATCCCTGACTTCATTTCTCTGTGCTGTTGCTTGGCTCAATTCCCTTTAACTGCTTCCCCAGCTTGCAGAATAAACCTCAAATTGCACAGCACACTTTCCAAAGTCTTCCTTGTCGCAGCCCTAAGTTACTGTTCTCCCTGCATTATTTGATCATATTCTCTTCTAAACTCAGATCAACTCAAATGGATCTGACAATTAATTAATTCAAGCAACATTTACTGAGCGCCTACTATGTGCCAGACACTACTGTGGGTGTTGGGAATACACCCCTAAACAAAACAGACATCTCTGCTCTCATCCATAAGACTAGAACAGTAAATACTGAAAGGTTAAACTGTATAGTATTTCAGATGGTGATGAGTGGGGAGGAGAATAAAAAACTAGGAAGAGATAGATCCTGGGGAAGGTGGGAATTACAATTTTAAAGAGGTGATCAGGGAATAGGGAATGCCTTATGAAGAAGGTGCATTTAAGCCAACATCTGAAGAAGATTAGAAAAGCAAGCCATGTGCCACCTGGGGGAATGAGCTTTCCTGGCTGAATATGGAGCATTATAAAGGTCCAGAGGCTGCATGGGCTTGGTTTGTTTGAGGTACTGCTAAGAGGCCAGTGTGTCTGAGGTAAAGTGAATGGGCGTGTGTGTGTGTGTGGGGGGGGTGGGTAATAGTAGATGAAGTCAGAGAGTTAATGGGGATCCAGGATGTACAGATCCCTGAAGGCCTTTGTAAGAACTCTGGCTGTTATTCTGAGAGATTTGGGAACCACCGGGGACTTTCAAGCTGTGGACGACACAATATGACTAATCTCTTAAAGACAGCCATCTGGCTGATACATTCAGAATAGACTCGTGGGGACAAGGATGGAAGCAGGAAGCAGAGAAGCAGGTCAGAGGTTATTTCAGCAAGGTCCACGGAGAGATGGTGGTGGCTTGAATCAGGAAAGCAGTGACTGAGGTAGGGATGGAGCAGTGGTTGAGCTCTGGATATATTTTGAAGGTAGAAATGGAAAATTTTTTTAGGCAGGTTGGATACATGGTGTGAGAGGAAAGGAAATCAAGCAGGAAGTAATGTTTTTCGCTGAGAAGACAGAGGGCAGGAGAGACTATTACTGAGATGGGGAGACTTAGAAGAAGAAAGGTGTGAGTCTGTGTGTTTAGGGAGTTGAGAAAAGGAATCATTATTTCTATTGTGCTCATATTCATTTTGAAAACCTCCTACACAACTAAGTCAAAATGTTGAGTGGCTAGTTGAATGTATGGCTTTGGAATTTAGGAGAAAGTTGCGGGTTGTGGACACCAATTTTGAAGTCATAGGTGCACGTAGAGCTGGAAAGGAAAGGGTTAGCATCAGGCCTACTCTCCATTTTCTCATATTTCTGACCCAAGCAAAAAAAGAAAGATGCGTTAGTCAAATCCCCTTGTAAATATGCTAATGGTACTTCTATACAATGGCATTTACTAGAAAAGAGTTCTTATCTATGGAATGCATTCAGCAGGAAACACTTGGTCTAAGTTTGCTTACAGTAAACTAGAATATATGAATTTATGAGGTAAGGCTCTCTGAAAATGTCATAAGCTGTGCAATTATTAAGGGATAATGAAGACATTTTATCAAGTGAAGAATGATGAGACAGTTTATATAACTGAGAGATTTCATGTTAGTGATCATTCCATGAACTTCCCAGAGACCTCATGTATTGACTCTTGCCTAGAGTACATCCCAATATGCTGAGAAAGGACATGCATAGCTGTGTTAAATGAGGTGGGGTTTCCCTGTATTTTGTCTGTGTCTCATCATTACCAGCATCCTGGAAGTTATTAGTAAAGATTGACACTGGGTTACATCTACAATTTTTTTTTTTTTTGCGGTATGCGGGCCTCTCACTGTTGTGGCCTCCCCCGCCGCGGAGCACAGGCTCCGGACGCGCAGGCTCAGCGGCCATGGCTCACGGGCCCAGCCGCTCCGCGGCATGTGGGATCTTCCCGGACCGGGGCACGAACCAGCGTCTCCTGCATCAGCAGGCGGACTCTCAAACACTGCGCCACCAGGGAAGCCCACATCTACGCTTCTTGCAAGTCTGATTTGACAATACGACCCTGTGTTATCTCAACAGCCATGAGACTGGATGAGATTACCCAACCTTTGTGGGGATGCTGAGAAGGAGCCAGTAAAGGAGACTGAGAAGAAGCAGCCTATTAGGCAGGTGGAAAACGAGAAGAATGTAGGTGTCCTGGAAGGCAAGGGAACACAGTATTTCAAGGAGGGTGTATGTGTCATGATAAATTGTGTCAAAGGCTGCAGACAAGACAATTACTGAACACTGGCTGTTGTTAGAAATGGAGATGCCATTGCGATCTCAACAGGGGCCATTTCAATGGAGTCATGGAGCCAGAGGCCTTATGGGAGTGGGGTCAAGAGAGAACTGGAGGAGACAAATTCCAGGAGGTGAGCGTGGATACTTTTTTCTAGGAGTTTGACTGAAAGGGGCAGCAGAGACAGGGGGACAGCAGCTGGGAGGGCTGTGGGACTGTAAAGGGATTTTTGAAAATGGAGAAATAACAGGATGTTAGTGGGCTGAAGGGAGTGAGTGAGAAGAGGACGGTAACTGATGATGCCGTGGGTAGGTGAGGGGCTGGGATCTACAGGGTGAGTAGAGGGTGAGGCCTTAGGACGAGGGCAGAGTGCTGCGGCCCACGTGCGGACAAAGGAGGTTTGGGGAATTTGAGATGAGCAGAAAAGGCATGAAAGATAAAGGGGAGGGAATGTTTGGAGTCAGGATTATTGCTGGGCAGCACTAAGAGCCCATTTGAACAGCGATTATGAATTTAGAGGAAGCTGGTCAGTAGAGTTGCCTGCTCTTCTGCACCAGCACTCAGCAGCACGTGCAGAGCAGACAGGGAGTTGGCTTTAAGCCAGGTGGGGTTTGGTCAGACTTGCATGAAGAAGCAAGCCATTCCTCCATTCCCACCCCCGTGTGGCTTTGGCACATAGCATCCCCTCATATCACTGTGAATGATTCCAATAAATATTTATTGAACCCCTCTGCTCAGCTCTGTACCACTGGACTGTTTAACCTTCTGTTTTGTCCTATCCAAAATGGGTACAAAGTTTCAGTTTTGCAAGATGGATACATTCTTGGGATCTCAGGTACAGCCTGGGGAACACAGCTAATAATTCTACATTGTAGACTTAAATTTGCTAAGAGGGTAGGTATTTCAGAACTACAGAGTTTTACTTAATATTTTCTGTTTTACATCTCTGTTGCCCTTTTTCTACACTGGTTCTCAAGAACGCACAGAATAATAGAATAATAATGTTCCATAATAGCTCACTTGCTTTAGCTCACAGTGTACACACCATGATTTTACAATAACAATATTATCACCATGAATGTGATTACTAAAAACTTCAAATATATTTTCATGTGCTCTACCCATTCTCCTGCCAAATTTTTCCAATAATACTGTATCTAAATTGTTGAGACATAGGGCCATTTCATACTATGCTTTCTTTCTCCTAATTCTCATGTAATCTTAATGCCACACACACACACACACACACACACACACACTCTCTTAATACTCATCACCAATCCTTATGTTAACGTCTGATCAGCAATTTTGGTTGTTTGAAGCTTGTTCTCTAGTATAAATTCCTCAGGAAGATCTCATTGGAAAAATGTTCACTGAATTCTTGCTCAGTGACAGTTTATTTGGGGCCTTGATTCTTGAAAATGAGTTTGGCTGGATATAAAGTCCTGGGTTCATATTTTTTCCCCCTCAGGTATCTTAAATGTCTTACTCTATGTTCTGATATAAAGTGTTATGGGCAAAGCTTATGACAATCTGATTTTATTTTTTTCCTTTATAAGTGAATTGATCTTTTTGCTCAGATGCCCAAAGGATTTCTTTTTCTTTAGAATCTAGTAATTTTATTAGAATATGTCTTGGTGATGGTCATTTTCTGATCAATATTCATACGCATGCTATGTCAGGAAAGCTGTACTGAATTTAATATTTTAGTATTTGCTCCATTCTCTTGCTTTGATGTTTTTCTTGTGGGCTTTCTAGTGTACATATATTGGATTTTCTTTACCTAATTTCTAAATCGGTCAACTTCTCTTGACTGAGTTAGAAGTTGGGTAAAGTTAGTTTATCTTACTTTATTTTCAGTTTTTAGAATTTTCTTTCTTTTCACTGTCTATTTCTTTTAAGACTATGTCCGTTGTTATTTATTTGTACTTGTGAAATTTCTTAATAACTTAGTTCCCTTTGGAATAGTTATTTTAGTTTTCACCCAACTGGTGGGCATGACCGGCTGATACACTCTCACTGTCTCTCAGGACAGTATTCTGCTCTTCACTCTGCATCTCCTCTTAAAAACTTTGTGTGGCATTTGACCTTGTTTCTTTTCTGTTGGGA